AGCACTGCAAAGACACCACCAGAAATAAAGGAACTCAGAAAATACTTGGCTGGTTTGCAAACAGGAATGAATAGGATTTTAGCGAGATCCCCAAACTCAGGGATTTGTGAGATTGGAAGGAACACTGATCCACGTCTTCAACTAGTAAAGACAAAAACTGAGGAAGACTGCACAACAAATGCTTGAAACTCTGCCGAGTGGGAAGGACCAAGTCAAGAGTATAGCCGTCATATACCATTTAATGCCATATTCTCTCTCTCCTCTTTAATTCATTAAAAAATATCTTGGGGCCAACTCGTGCCATAATGGTTGAGGCACTAGACTCCCACGTGGCTGGCCATAGTTCAAGTCCTGGACCCATGGCTTGAAACTTCCACTGGGCGTGTGTGCATGCATGGCCAGGGTCTCAAGAGGAGATCAGAGAAGGGATTTCAGTGTGGCCATCCCTCCTGAGGGATGATTTCTCACTTTCTTTCTCTTTGTCTCTCCAGCAAGCACACACATCCTATATTAAAGTCTCTCTAGAAAATAAATCAAATCAAATAAAGTATCTTTAGGGACCAACAAGTGGTATGGTGGTTAAGGCTTTGGACTCCCACATGGCTGACTGCAGTTTCAGTCCCAGACCTGGTGACTTGCTTTCTCATTTTTCCTTTCTCTCTTTCTCTCTCTCATCTCTCTGGTGAGTGCATTATGTCCTATAGCAAATGATCAATTTTAAAATTTTACTTTGCCCCTTTCTCTTTTCTTGCTAGAGTGTATTCACCAGAGAGACCAACAAAAACTATATCCACAATTCTATTTTGTGATAGGCCCATCTCTCACTTGGGCTGTGAAATAACGCTGGATTCACACACACACACACACACACACACACACACACACACAGAAAGCACCCTGTCATGGAGCATGGTCATGTTTTTAATTCTTTTTGCTCGATTGCTTCTTCCTGCCAGGATTTTGGGCACATATGCACACTCACCTAGTGCATTTTTCAAGCCATCAGGCCTGGATTCAAACTCTCGCTGGCTCTGTGGGATCCAGCCACTAATGTACTGTGTTTAACTGCTGTCCTACAAGACTGGCCCTAAATAATTACATTTTTTATTGTGATGTTCTTGTTTACATATAATCATTGGACATATTTGTGGGGTACAGCGTAGTTTTTCAAAGCACGCATATAGAGTGAAATAATCACATCAAGGATATTGACATAGTCTTCTTATTCAGCATTGAATATTACGTTATGTTGTACACATTTGATAATAGTGGTACTAGGTTTTATTTTTAAGTATATATTGACTTGTCAATGGTATTTTTTGTAGTTTTTTTTATCATTATCTTTATTATTCTAATTATTTTTATAAAACAGTCAATTGCTATTTCTCGTTTTGCTTGTAAAAATACTTTGCCCATCATGAAACACTTCTCAGACCAATCCAGTTGAGAATACTATACATGTCATCATCAACAGTTAATAAGCCCTATCTGTTTCTCACTAACGTCCTGTCTCTCTATTGTTCACTTGCTATCTTTCTCTATCCTCTTCTCTTCACTTACCCCATTCCACACTGTCCTATTCTCATTAAGTACCTTCACTGTTTTTATGTCCTCCGAATTTTTGCTCTCTATTATAGAGTGCGGATAGTCGGTATATATTGAGTGGATACATACAATATCTTTCTTTCATAGCCTGGCTTACTTCACTCAGCAATAGATCCTCCGTATCTGACCATTTTCTATCAAATTCCAGGGTCTTGTTATTTTTTATGGCTGAGTAGTATTCCATAGAGTATATATACCACACTTTTCCAATCCATTCATCAGTTTGTGGACATTTAGGTTGGTTCCATGTCTTGGCAATTGTGAATAATGCTGCAATAAACATGGATGTGCAAGCACTTTTCTGACTGAGCGTTCTCCTGTCTTTTGGGTAAATACCCAGAAGTGGGATTGCTGGATCAAATGGTAGTTCTATTTGTAGATCTTTGAGGAACCTCCATATTGTTCTCCACAGTGGTTGAACTAGTTTACATTCCCACCAACAGTGTAGGAGGGTTCCCTTTTCACCACATCCCCGCCAACACTTATCACTTTTTATATTCTTAATCTTTGCCATTCTGACAGGGGTTAGGTGGTATCTCATTGTGGTTTTTATCTGCATTTCCCTTATGATGAGGGATGTCGAGCATTTCCTCATATGCTTTTTGGCTGTTCGTATGTCTTCCTTAGAGAGACTTTTGTTCAGCTCACTTTCCCATCTTTTAATCGGGTTAATCATTTTTTTTCGCATAAGGCACTTGAGTTCCCTATGTATTCTCGTTATCAGTCCCTTGTCTGAGGCATATTTAACAAAAATATTTTCCCCGTCCTCAATGGTATTTTTTAGGATCTCTGAATACTAGCAAATACTTTCACTAGAAAACATATATCTGAGAAGGGAGACTTAGGATTTGGCTCTTCCTAAAGAAGTCTGATGGGTTCAACATATCTTCAATAAACTTGAGAGAGAGAATGTCTCTAAACAGCTGTGTCACAGAGCACTGCTTCGAATCAAACGAATGACCTGGAATATATTACGAGAAAGTGGCATTGTCAAAGGAATCACTGGTATGGTCGAAAAGAGAATGTGATTGTTCAAGACTGAAAATGATTATCAGACCCCCAGCCTTCTACAGCAGGATTTCAGAGATGTCATGCACCTTTTTATGTCACCTGTCCTTTGAAGTTGGTAATATTGGGCCAGCATAGTGGTTGGGCTAGCTGGATCTCACGTGGCCGACTGTGTGGTTCAAGTCCTGGACTCGATGTCTTGAAATATGTGTGTTCATGTCCAAAGTCCTGAGAGGAGAATGGAGAAGGGATTGCAGCATGGTCATCCCTTCTGGGCAGTGATTTCTCATGTTCCCTCTCTCTCTGCCTTTGTTGTTCTTTGGCAAGTGCACACACCCTATAGCAAATTTTAAAAATAAATAAAATAAATAAATAAATAAATAAATACAGTGGGAATACCTATTCTAGTGATCCTGTCCCTATTCTACTACTATGTATATTGCATGTCAGGGCAAGGAGCAGCTAACTTACCATCTTAATTCAGTAGTCTCTGGGTCAAGAGGAGCTACACATGGATCTGCAGAGATAGTTGTGAATTCCTCATAGCTCTGAGCTACAAATGTTGATGGAGGTGGAACTTTTGGATGGTCTCCTTTAAAAAGCGGCTTAGTGTTTTCTTCGTGTAGGAAAGGAGAAGTTCAGAGGGACTGTGATAGGTTGTATACTGCCATGCTATTATGTAATCCTTTCCCTTTGAGTGGGTTGGACGTGGGGACTCTCCATTAACAGATAGAGTGCAGCAAAGTGGTAAGGTGTCTGGTATTGCTAGGATATTGTGCTCTGCAGGTTGGGACTGGGTGTATGGCAGGTCACAGTGGATGTGCCTGGAGTCCCAGTGATTCAGGAAGTCTGAGACAGGATTATGAGCTCAAAGCTAGCCCAAGCAACCCGGGAAAACTGTCTAAAATGGAGTTAGGTGTGGTGATGGGCCGTGGACCTGTAGTCTCAGCTGTGAGGCTGAAGCAGGAGGATCAGGAGGGAGAGCCTAAAAAAAAAAAAGCACTGGGCTTTCACATGGTTGACTGTGTTTTTGAGGCCTGGATCCGCAACTTGAAACACATCAGGCACATGTGCGTGCATGCCCAAAGTCCTGAGAGGAAGAACCAGCAGGTGGCATAATGATTAAGTTGCTGGACTCCCAGGTAGTCATCTGTAGTTCGAGTCCTGGACCTGGCAACTTAAAACTCATGACAGGTGTATGTGTGTGCGTGCCCAAGATCCTGAGAGGAAAATGTAGGAGAAAAGATTGCAGCATGGCCATCCCCCTGAGAGGTGATTTCTCACTCTCTGACTCTCTGGCTGAGTGGACATGCTATATAGCAAAAACCTCTCTTAAAAAAGAAAGAGAGAGAGGAAGAAGAAAGAAAAAGAGAAAGAAAGAAAGAAAGAAAGAAAAGAAAGAAAGAAAGAAAGAAAGAAAGAAAAAAGAAAGAAAGAAAGAAAGAAAGAAAGAAAGAAAGAAAGAAAGAAAGAAAGAAAGAAAGAAAGGAAAAAAACAAAATCCCAAGAGGAAAAGGGAAGAAAAGGAATTACGGCATGGTCATCCCTTCCTGGGGGAAAGGGTGATTTCTTTCTTTTTGTCTCTCTGTCTCTCTCTGGTGAGTATACATGCCCTATAGCAAAAATCTCTCTAAAACAAACAAACAAAAGGCCAGCAGGTGGCATAGTGGTAAAGCCATTGAACTCCCACATGGCCAATAAAGGTTCAGGTCCCAGATCCAGCAGTTTGAAACTCACACTGGGCACATGTGTATACATGCCCAAAATACCTAGAGAATGGAAAAGACAGGACTATTGTGTGGTCATCCTCCCCTGGGGGTGATTTCTCACTTTTCTGCTCACTGTCTCTCCCTCCAGTGAGCACATGTGCTCTGTGATAAAAACCCTACAACAACAAAAAGTTAGCAAAAATGACCCCAGAATGCCTTCTTTAAATGTTTCAAATTTTTGCTTTCCAAGAAAGAAAAAGTTGATCTTCCTGGCTGATAAAGAATCATGCTAACTTCTGAGTCATTAATATACTTTCTAAAACATCTTTACTTGTCTCTCATTTTTCTGGCGAAGTAAAAAACAACCCTTGTGTAGACTCGTATTTCGTGACAGGTACAGAATAAGTGCAGTGACTTGGCGTTCATGGACTCCTTGTGTGTGTTCCTGTGGCATCCTACACACATACGTGTATTATAATTCTATATATTCCTTGTTATTATATGTATATACGAATTTGTAAAAGAATAACTGTAGTATTATAATTCATATTAGAACATTAGTGTTAGATGTTTCTCGGTTATCTTCATCTTACATCTATTTGAAACAAACCTGTAGTTTCTACACGTGGAAAGAAATAATTTGCTGAGATGCCAGCTGGGGATTCCTCCCCCAAAAGCCTGGAAATGGAGAGCTTCCACACCAGATTCAGTGCCTGGACACCTTTCAGCAACAAGTCACTAAATAGACAGGTGAGATACGTAAACCGGAATAAAATAAATGTAATTTATAAGGTGAAATTTACTGTGATGTATGGGTTCTCATTTTGCCACATTCTTAAAGAAAGACCCTCTAAGAATTTAGTTTTGGAGTCAGTTTAAACAAAGTAAAACTTTGCCCCAAAGATAGTCTCTTCTCCCCCTTGTCCCTAGCTCCTGCCTTCTGGGAGTTTCCAGACCTGCCTTTCCTTTCACTGTACCTCCAGTGACAAAATGGAGACTCCAGGACATGACTGAGTTACTGTAGTGGGGGAGAAGAAGAGAGGAAGGTGTTCTTGGGGGCGGTGCTGTGGGAGTGTTGGTGCTGTGTCACTGTGTGTTTCCTTAATCTTCTCTTTCCTCTTGTGCCAACTCTATGGTTCATATGGCCCCAGGGATGCCTGCTCCTTGAGGAACAGGAAGTGGCCATTGAATGACTTACGACAGCTCTGCCAGGCCTTAAAGGACAAGACAGATAGAGTCCTCAGAGCTCAGATGCAATTAGCCTCGTTTCAAGGGGAAGGAGTCTAACAGAGCTGGGGCTAAAGCCGGACCAAAAATAACTTTGAGACTACAATACGTTCCTATCTAAGCAAAGCTGGATGAAAACCCAGGTTTTGGAGATGCTGGTCCTTGGTGTTTGTCTTTCCTGAAGACAACTAACTATGGCTGTTGAGTAATTCTTCTTCTTCTTTTTTTTTTTTTTAAGAGAGATTTTTGCTATGGGGCACGTGTGCTTGCCAGAGAAACAGAGAACGATAAGAGAGACAGAAAGCAAGAAATCACCCCCCAGGGAGATGGCCACACGGCAATTCCTTCTCCTGTCAGGATTTTGGGTATCTATGCACATGCACCTGGCTTGAATTTCAACCGTCCAGGTCCAGAACTTGAACTGCGGTAGGCCACATGGATGTCCAGTGATGTAACCATTGCTCCATCTGCTGGTCCCTAGTAATTTTATTACCTTGAAGTTTGATGGGGACTATGAAGACCTAGTACTGTAGGTTAGTAAAATCACTCCTACCCTAAAATATCATGTTTGGGCTAGCCCTACAGCCTAGTGGCTAAGGGAGCTGAATCCTAGTGATTACCTGGCTAACTGTGGTTTGGATCTGAGCTCTAGTGGCTTCAAAAACATGCCACAGACATGCGTGTGCATGCCCCAGATTCTGATGAGTTGAAAGGGATTGGGCATGACCATGCCTCATTGGGGTTGCTTTTTCTCTTTCTCTTTCTACGTTTCTGTTGCAAGTGCCTGTGCCCTCTGCCAATTAAAAACAACAACAAGGGTTAGCAGGTGGCATGAAGGCAAGGCTCTGGATCCCACTGGGCCAACTGCTCTGTTCAAGTCCTGGACTCAATGGCTTAAAAATTACACACAGTGCTTATGCATGCATGCCCTAAATCCCAAGAGGAGACTGGAGAAGAAGGGACTGTGGTATAAACATTCCCCTGGGGGATGATTTCTCCCTCTCCCCCTTCTCTGTCTTTCTCTGGTGAGTGCATTTACCCTATAGCAAAAACTAAACAATAAAATAATAAAAAATGAATGAAAACAACAAAAGGTCCTGTTTGCAAAATTAATTAATTTTAGCCTGTATGCATTTTCAAGATGAAATACATGAGATTTATTTTCCTAGGCCACATTAGCCTAGACAGAAACAAGAGCCAGGAATCAGTGCCTCTTTGTTTTCCAAAGAGGCCCTCTGCCCCTCTGTAATACGTCCCTACCAGTCTTTCCTGCTAGCCCACCCAACAAGCCTGAGCTTGTCTGTGTTCCTGGATAAAAACGGTTTAAGCTGAAAGGAGAGACACCCGTTGCATCCATGAAAACACCGTGAACTGTAATGTACTGTGCAAATATTAGCTGTGAGCTTGCTCAAAGATTGTCTAAAGATTGCTTAGCAACTAAGACTATCCTGAACTGTACAGCAAAATATCATTTTTCCCCCTTACAGCTCTTTCAGGAAAGAGTTGTTCTTATAACTCATTGGTTTGACCTCTGGACTAACAAGCAACGTCAAGAATTCCTACTCGCAATTATTTTCCGGTGCAATAAATCACAATTAAGGTAAATATATAGCCTAATGATTTAATTACCATTGGTTCATCAAGAAAACAAAATCTAGTAAGATGTTTAAATAATCTTGAAGGGTTTCCTTTCCTTTCTTTTCCCCTAGGGGGTAGAAAACAAAGCAGTTGCTATTTGAAGATTTACAGGCAGACTTTTCTAATGCCATCTTCCTTCTTGAGGCTGAAATGGAAACTTGGGCTTAATACCTTCATACCATTTAGACTGTTTTGATTTTTGCAAAATACTTGTAATGCCTTCAACCAGTCAATTTTAACACCCTTTTGGTATATCAGATTCTCCTTTTGGTATATCAGATTCTCCTTCTGGTATATCAGATTCTTCTTGGAACTATCAGATAGATGCTATATTCCAAATTAATATCTGGTACATCAGTAGACACTCCAGAAATAATTACTAGATGGATGGATGGATCTGAAAAATATGTAAGAAGTGACAAGGGCAGCAACATTTAGGAATATGGGCAGGACTTGTACAGCACTGGTGAATGAATGCTAATGGGTCCTTGTTCTATTCTTCCTCTTCTCTCATGTTATATCTGTAATTTACTTTGAAAATCGTTAGCATAGATGGTATGATGTTCATTGGTTGAAATTGCACCTGGGAGTAGCTAGTGTTCAATAGGAATGAATATCTATGGGTCATTGGCTATCTCTTGATTGGAAAGGTTATAAAACATCAATTATGATCAGACACTTTGCTAATTCATCTAGCAAATAGCAAACAGTAGTTGTTATCAGAGCAACCAGTGGGCTTTTAACCAGTCAGATGAATGTTAGAAATGGACCCTCTTTGGTGCAAGATGTGTGGGATAGACCAAAATATTCTAGAGAGCCTTCCATCATGCCTGAACTTGGGTGAAGACTCCAGCTGGTCTGGTAGCAGGTGCCTGTAAAGATGGTTTTCCAGGCTTTATTGCAAAATAAATGACCTAGTGTCAGTCTAGAGGGGTTTCTGGTAGCCTGAGTCCAACAAGAGGGTTAATAATAGAATGCTTTTCTGGAACGTTGTCCCTTCTCAATAGAATGAACCTCTTATCCAGAGGACTGAGAACTGGGGATTCGTTAAGCACACAGCAGAGACGCTGTGAAGTGGTTGGAGTTTATTTACGAATGTTTGTGTAGTTAAACTTTAAGTGTGGCGTCATTTGATGTTAAGATGCTTTCATTATAACCCGGAGGTGAGGATGTGGGAGAAGCTAACCATTACATTTCTCAGGTAACTAACGATAGTTATCTTTAAGTTGTGTGTGACCAAATTGGCTTTAATTTGCAGTACCTGCCTCCTACTCTTTCTTTATATTTTCCTGCTCTTCTCTTTTGATCAGCCATTTTTTCTTTCCTTCTGCACTTGACAGCTTACTCCTGCACCTGTAGGCGCAAACCAAATCATTAACAGAAATCTCCCTGACAGAATCACTTGAAGGAGACTGGAATCTTCCTGGCTCTACTGAAAGAGGTTGCAAAGACAGGTCACAGAAAAATAGATTCTTTAGTAATGCTTACATATCAGGGAGAAAGGACACTTTACGATAGGCATTGGCTATGTTTTCCTTAGCAAAAAAGAAAACAATTCTGCAGCTTTTGAGATAAGAAAATAATAGACCAAATCCCATACACATAATCACTTTGGGTTTCATGTTCTTGTCCCGTGTTTCACAAACCAAGCAATTTCAGTTGTAACCACTGGAGGTCATTAGAGATCTTGTGGTGTACTCTGAGGCAGCGTCCCATTAGACCTAACATTTTGTCACTGGAAATTGCATCCTTTGTCTGGTACCCGAATTATTCTTTCTGTGGGACAAAAATATGGAGCCAACCTGTTCAGTGAAATGACTTTGCTTTGTTTGGTGGCTGCTCTGTTTTTGCAGAGAGCAGTGGGTATTTTGCAGTCCCATGAAGCTGCGATTACATGTTCTGGGCTGCTGATTCCAGGGGAGGTTGGGTGTGAATCTCTAGATCTAGGGCATCTAGATGTGGCACCTTGAACCCATCTTTAATTTGTAGTAGTGATTTTTGTGGTTGAACACCAGTTAATTCCCTAAAGCCTGGGTCAATTCCTTCTTACACTCCTTCTTCACCATTGTTCTTGGTCAGCCATTCCTTCTCTCCTACCAGCACCCATCGACAAAGCTCAAGTTTGAGCTGTGCTTAATTTTAGTTAAATCTGAAGTCTAACTTATTTTTAAAAGATACCTGTTAGTACAATCAACTTTTTTTTTTTCATTTCTTTTTTATTGCCAGAGACTGCATGTGCTTGCCAGAGAAAGAGAGAGAAACCATCAGTGGGGACATGGTCATGCCACAATCCTTTTCCTCCATTTCTCTATCTATTCAGATCTATTCAGTGTTTAGGGCATGCATACATACGTTCCTGGTGTGTTTTTCAAGCCACTGGAGCCAGGATTTGAACTGTGGTCAGCCACATGCCATCCAGCTCCTATGCACAGTGCTTAACTGCTGTCCTATATGGTCGACCCATAATCAACTCTTCTTTGAGCATCTTTGTTGAGATATAATTTATACACAATCAATGATTTTAGTATAGTCAGAGTTGCAACCATTGCCACAATCTAAGTTTAGTTTTCATCACCCCTAAAGACCTCCTACTCGTTAGTAGTCATTCCCTGTCTCCAGTCTCCCAGCTCTGGGAAAATACTAACCTATTTTCTGTTTCTATAAATTTGTCTATTCCAGGCTTCTCAAACGAGTGAAATCATGCAATATGTCATCATTTGTGACTGACTTCTTTCTTGTATTATGTTTTTAAGGTTTATCCACTGTGTACCATGTATTAACAATTCTTTTCTTTTTATTGCCAAATAATATTCCATTGTCTGAATATGCCATGTTTTATTTATTCAATTCATTCATCAATTAATGGACATATGGACTGTTTCCTTATTTTGGCTACTGTAAATAGTGCTGCTATGAACATCTGTGTCCAAGTTTTTGTATATGAATGCTTTTATTTCACTTAGGTATGTACTTAGGAATGGGACTGCTAGGTCCAATGATAATAGTGCAAGCAACTTTTTTATTTTTAATCTTTTTTTTTTTTTGCCCGAGAGCACATGTGCTCTCTGAAGAGAGACAGAGACAGAGAAAGTGAGAAAACAACTCCAATATTGATATGATAGTAATGGAACAATATGATATTATTCCAATAGTCATTCTTCCTCCATAACGGAATAAGTTTGTGAATAAGTCAGAGAAATGAGCACTATTTGATTGCTTGGAATCTTTACATGTAAACTAGGCTATATTTGTGCAATATTATATTTTTGAGGCAGAGATGCCATTATTTTAAATGTTTTGTTTAATAATTTCCAACTAATTTTGTTTTAATTCAGGCACTTATAGTTATAAAGGGGGCACTGCAATACTGGTGAGAAATACGTCACCACAAATTTCTTTCTAAGTTTCTTCTTGGTCTCTATGAGATATATTCAAAACTCTAAAATTTTCCTTTTCTATCTTAGTAAATATTCTATTTCGTTAAGGTGTTTTTTTGTTTGTTTGTTTGTTTTTTGTCATAGGGAGAGAAAAAGAGGGAGAGAGGAGAAAGCAACCCCGTGGGGTAGGGGCATGCTGCAATCCCTTCTCCTCCATCTCTCCCTTTTTCGGGGATTTTGGGCTTGCACATACATGTGCTTGGCTTGTTTCTCAAGCCACCAGGTCCAGGACCCAAATGATATGATATGATAAGGCCATGTGGGTTCCTGCTGCCTAACCACCAGGCCACGGAGTCAGCTCAGACATTTTGTTAAGCTTTAAGATGATTTCTTAATGGAAAAATTTCTGATACTTAAGACATTTTTTGAAGATTCAGCTTCTTAAACCATTCTTCTGGCAAATTCTGCCTCTCACCTCAACTTCAGTGTCACCTGTCCTGGGAAGTCTCCTTGGTTTGTCTTCGTGCCCCGCCATTTTTTCATATCTGTATCATGGCCTTTTCCCCAGTACATTATGCTGTATACCAACAGATCTTGTGGTCCTGCGTTGTGTTCCCTCTGCCGCCTGACCAGATTGACCTTTCCTGTGACTTCTGACAGGAAACAGGGCTGTTTGTGTCTGTCACACTTGGAGAAACTTAAGAGAAGTTTGAATCAGTCTCCTTGCCACACTGGTGGAACCTGTTTTAAATCGTCTCTGTATAGAAGCCAGGAGCATAGGCAGAGGCCTTCCATTCCAGGGCTGGAGCTGCGCAGACTTGCAGTTTTCCTGAATGCACTGCATTCGTGCAAGAGGGGTGTCTGTAGTGTGTGTGTGTGTGTGTGTGTGTGTGTGTGTGTGTGTGTGTGTGTTTTGGGAGAGAGGGAGATCATGAACAACCCAGGAAGGTTTCACTCTCTTCACTTGTCTCCATTACAGTAAACTGGAAACTGATGTACATTTATACTGAAGAGAGAGCACCCGCTCTCCCCTAACCCTACCTCAGCCACTCAGTCCAGGACCCACCCACTCTT